CTGCATGCTCTAAAAACTTTTATTCATCTAGTTTTTTTCCCCGCACTTCAATCCTTTGGAACTCTCTCCCATCTTCATGTTTTCCTGACTCATACAACCTTCAACTTTTCAAGTCTTCTGTCAACCGTTTCTTTGCTCTATAACTCTGTTCTTTTTTTTTTCCTAGTAACTCCCCAACTTAATAGTGGTTGCTTGCAGCCTTGTTGGGAGTGAATGCAAATAAAAAAAAAAAAAAAAAAAAAAAATAAAGTATTTAATAATAACTTAATATAATAACTTATTAAATCCCTTCAAAACAACTTTTATTTTATTTTTTAGTTCCCTTTTATTTAATTTTCTTCATGTTTTTACGTTTTTTTATAATTAAATAAATTTAACAAACTAAATTGAGAAAAATTCACTATTTTGTATTAATGGATAACAGTTTACAGTCACAAGGTATATTAGTTATCATTAATTTGCGCGCACTTTGCAAATGCGTGAAAAATTGTTTTGAATTAATAAAAAATTGATAAAATTTAATAAGCATCTTAGATATATCTTATCAACTAGAATATAAGTTATTTGAAAGAAAAACGCCCTTATAATTTAATAAAAAATTATTTCAAAAAAAAATAATTGAATGAATCGAAAATAAAATTGGCTTATTTATGGCCGACACCACAGGTTTCGAAGTGGAGGTGCACAACCATCTATTTCTTAAAAAAGTCTTTTATATCTAAAATTTCTCATAAAAAAAAAAAAAAAAACGGGCCATTAAAAAAAAAGTGAGGGTGGATGGAGGGGGGATTATTTGACATACCTTTTAAATCAGACGTTTGTCAATAAATAATGAAATGAACGTCAACAGTTGTTAAAAAAAACGATTTGTCGCACCCTGAATTTGAGACTTTTTTTTTCATTTAAGTTGCCATCATTATCAAAAGAAAATATTTTTTCTAAAATTCTGGTTGGTTAAAAATGCGTTCTGTAAAATTTACAAAAAGTTAAAATTATAAAACATTCTTTCAGGCTAAAAACTTGAACAATAAAAATTCCAGCTCAATTGCTGGAATAACATCAAAAGTATCAGTTTTGGGTGTCTTTAAAGGTTATTTAAACAAGAAATTAAAAAAAACAACAACAAATTTTTGCCTTGCCCAACAATGTATGTACATTTTATTACATTCATCCCTAATGTCATGTTAAGTAGTTAAATTTGAAATTTTTTTTCAGGGGAATTTATTTTTATTGGATTTTATTTCGGGTGGGTTTCTGGAACAGCTTATTATGTTTCTAGAACAGCTTATATCTGTTTTTATTAGATAAAGGTAATTTTATCTTTTTTAAACATCTGAAAAGAATAGATTTAACATTTTTCTAGGAAGATAGGTTAAGTAAAGTAAGGTTAGGTGAAGTAATGTATTAGATTAAAAATACAAATTGTAGATTATATTTTATGAGAGAATAATTTTTAAGGTATTAGGTCTGTTTACTTAAAATTTGAATAATACATTGGTATTGGTATTTATGCAGCTGAAACACTTTTAATAATGTTTATTTTACACTTGCACATATTTTTTTGGCTCATTTTTATACTAACCAGATAGTAAAAGATTTATTGTGATATCAGTTACTTTAACTAGTTTTAAAAATTCAAATTGTCACTCATTTTTTTTATCAACTTTTGTTTAAAAGGTTTAAATCAGTATTTTAGAAAAAAAAGTTTTGATTTTGTTTCAAATTTTTTTATTACTATGTCTTAGTTCATAATGTACTGTTTAAAGCATGCAATAATATATAAAATAGCTTTATGTTGTTTGCATAGAAGTGCACATGCTGTTGCACACTATTCCTTGGACATGCTGTTGCACACCATTTCTGGGACATGCTGTTGCACACCATTCATGAGACATGTTATTGCACACCATTCCTAGGACATGCTGTTGCATACCATTCCTGGGAAAGGAATGATAATTAAGCTTTAAGTAGTTAATTTTTTAAAAGTCTGTATCTCTACTCTGAAAAAAAAAAAACTTTAAAAAAAAAATCTATGCTTTCAAAAAAAAAAAAAAAAATGTACAGCCAAAGGGTTGCCTGATTAGTTGTAAGCTATCTGCTTTGGCAAAGATTTTCATCATCGTGTATTTTCAGTTGACAACCAGAAGATTTAAGATACCTGATTAATGACAAATAAGATTATAAAAACTGTATGATTTCCTATCAGTTGGAAATTGAAGGCTCATATATTAAGATTGCCTAAAAGAAGGAATATTTTCTAAATAAGTAGAACCTTTCTTAGTACATCTCTCAATCTACGAACTTCTGTTACTAGCCTAATCTTCTCCTACTTGTTGTAAAGCAAAAAATAATTATAAATAATAATTTTGTTGGCTGTAAAGCAAAAAATAATTATAGATAAGGGTGGTCCAACCATAATGCACAATGTTAATTATGAATCACACCTTAACACCAAGTTTTTGCCCAAATTAACTTAATAATCAAATTTAACTGATGTTAATTGCTTGGAGAGATACACATTTAAGCAGTGCGTTAAGTTAGTTGAAATCTTTTTAATAAAATGGGCGTTCAAATCAAAATGCATTTTGTGCATGTGTCAGCATAATTGCATTTTGTGCACGCAAAATGCATTTTGCAGCAAAATGCATTTTGTGCACGGTCAGCATAATTGATCGAATGTGTCCACAATCAGGAGAATTGTGTGCAAATTTCAGCTAACCGTGTCTCTAGGAAATATGAAAACACTTGTATATGCTCACCCAGTTTCTTCTGCCAAAACACTAATCTTGTTTGTGTTAGTGTGGTAGAAAAGCTGTCAACCTCCTGTTGTTGTTTGAACATCTCACAAGATTCACTGATGCGAATTTCGAATAAATAAAGATTTAAATTTACTCACTTACAAGGTTTAATTGTCTCAAGAGCTGAAGCAGATCTTTTCAAGTGTCCTCAATACGCCATGTGGTTGGTTGAACAGACAGAAGTGAATGGTGACTTTACAAAGAAAATCATCTTCAGCGACTAGGTACACTTTCACTTAAGTGGATTTGTTAAGAAGCAGAACTGCCACACCCAAATGTGGCAGTTCTGCTGCAAATAAGCATCCAGGAGTGATTGTTGAAAAGCCCATTCATCCGCAAAAAGTAACTGTTTGAGGATATAGACCTGGAAAAAATGTGGTTTCAACAGGATGGTGCCACTTGCCACACAGCCAACAAAACAATTGCTCTTTTGTGCACAAAATTCAATAACTGTGTTACCTCACATCATGGCGATGTTAATTGACTGCCAAAATCATGTAATTTGACACCATTGGACTTCTTTCTTCATAGATGTACAAAAGATAAAGTGTGCACTATTTAGCCACAAACAAATCAAGAGCTAAAGGATGGGTTAATTTAAAACTTCAATGTCTCAGAGTCATTGAAAATACAGACCATCAGATAGAGATATGCCACCAAAGCCATGGCAAGTATTATGGAAATATTTTCTTTCACATATTATTGACATAGATCCTTCTATCATAAAAAATATTTAAAATAAGATAATTCTCTGAAAACTTTTTGTTTTATTTACAATAAACATTTTGCATTTTGGTTAAACCACCCTTTATAAAATCATAAATAAATTCGACAAAAATCAATTAGTTATTGTAGACTTTTAAATAACACTAATTCTAAGCAAATACCAAGTACTAAGTAATTGTAATCAATTAATTTAAAAGAAAATATAGTTTTATTAAAGTCATAAATATGTCAAATTACCATTTTTTTTTTACATTTTTAAAGTTGATTGTTACATTAAATTTTTTTTCAGTTAAATATTGATTAACCCACTCCAAGCCATAATAAAATGATTTCCCAAATTTTCAATTAAAAAAAAAAGTATGGCTTACCATAGTTGGCATCAGAGTTGGGGTAAAATACGTATTTTAATTTGGTAAAAATTTGATGTATTTGTATTGTATTTGATAAAAAATTTTTTTTCTTATATTTGTATTTGTATTTTATTGAAATGTATTTGTAATTCCATAAACTAGTTTAAATAGTTTTTTTTTGGGCAATAACGAGAGGTTTGGTTTTTTTTTCATTTTTAACACTAAAATACATAAAAAAATTTGTTTAAAAATTTGTTTTTATAAAATTTATTAGAAGACTTGTTTTCATTCTTTTATTTAACAAACCATTCTATCAGTCTTGTTATGAAAAAACTATATATTTTTTCTTAATCTAATTTACAAATATTTTTGTTTGTGTTTGGAAAATCCTTATTGCATTTATTTGTATTTGGAAATCTAAAATTAGTGTATTTATATTTGATCAAACTTATTTGACCCCAACCCTGGTTGGCATCTTTATTTTGTTGAGTGTTTTATCATGCACCCCTAGTAGACATCTTTATTTTAGTGTTTTATCACGCACCCTTAGTAGACATCTTTATTTTAGTGTTTTATGCAAAATCTAATTAAAGTAATTATAAAATTTATTTTAAAAAGTTTCTAGATGTTTTAATTAAAAGAGACATTGCAAATGTTGTAAGAAGACATTGCAAATGTTGTAAGAAGACATTGCAAATTTTGTAAGAAGACATTGCAAATGCTGTAAAAAGACATTGTAAATGGTTGATTACAACATTTGCAATGATTTGTTTGATAAATAAAAAGTTGTATTTCCTTGAATTGAAGTAAGAGATACAGAATAAGAGTTATTTGCCATGGAAACACTTAAATTGTTTTAACAATCACCTATAAAACTACTATTTTTCTATCATTTTTTAATCTATTTGCCTAATTAATATATTTTTTATTTGATTTTTTTTTTACATATAATTTATTCCTTGTTTAAAGGATATCTTCTTGATGATTTTTTGATTCGTTCTGCAAACCATGACATCCTTTTAAGTTTTTTTGTTTTTGTTTTGTTGTATCTTTATTGTATACAACTTGTCAAGTTGTTATTTTAATAATGTTATAATCTAGTTATTTACATATAAATTATTTTCAGTAATAAATGAAGAGAAATCGGAAACACATGCTGAGTCAAATTTAAAGACTGACGACGCATCAGAAAAACCAACTTCTGAGAATACTCCTTCAACTCAAACAGAAGCCTCATCTACCGATACACCTAATGATAATTCTACTCAACCTAAGAAAAAAGATTGTGTTCTTATGTAGTTTTAATTTCGTTCATCTTGTGAAGTAAGTTACTGAGGAATCAATTTACTCTTTAAAAACTTTTTGATGAGGATAATAATTTTGGTGCACCATTACACCGTACAGTTGCTACTTCAATGACAGAATTGCTTATCAATTGACAATGACTATAAAACCATTTTTGTTATAGTTATTTTCATACAACGTTTAATGGTTTCAGGATACTGTTATATAGAGTTAATGAATCGAACATCTTTTTAAAAATTTTATAGAACAAAATAAATAGTTTGATATAAATGCAGTTATTTTGAACATTGCTAGTGACAGATAAATAATGAACAACAAAACATTACTGTGACACGAACTGTTTATAAACATCAATTTACTACTGTGACACGGACTGTTATTGAACAATAAAATGTTTTTTTAAATACCAGTTCCAACAAGTTTGCAGAAAGCTGCTATTCAAGTTGGAAGTTGCTAAAAAAAGTTGAGGAAACAAATTAAAAAAAAAAAAGTCAAAGGACAAGAAAGAAGTTAACAGAAGAATAGAGATGTTATAGAGATAGGAAATAAAATGCTATGATCAAAGTTTATCAATGAAAACTATTTTGAGTTAGCAAACTAAACATCTTTTGAATAGTCTTAGTAAAAAATAAATAGTTTGAGATAAATGGAATGTTATGTTAAACAATGCTAGTGACAGATAAATAATGAACGATAAAATGCTACTGTGACTTGTGATAGTAAAATAGACTTTTAATGAACAATAAAATATTACTGTGACATGAAATATAATTAACCAATAGGTTTGCAGGCATCTGCTATTTTTATTACAAGTTACAGAAAAATTGAGGAGAAAAAAAAATGGTTAAGGGTCAGAAAGCAATTAACAAAAGGCTATAGATGTTATTACATATAGAGATAAAGAATAAAATTTTATAACCGAAATTTATCAATGACAACTATTTATTATTATGCCTTTTTTTTCGTTTATAACTATAGTATTGTTTTCAATTGATAATTTCATTAAAAGTGTTGTGAATACATTAATTCTTGCAAAAACAAGAGTTAAAAACTAGCCATGACTACCTTCTGACATTAAATGCATCTTACATCTTCACTTTGCAGAGAGATTTTCTAAACCTTCCAGTCAAGACTTCTCAATACCATCAAGAAGTCAACAAATGAGTTTACTAAACAAGTAAAGTATAAACACTCAACCCACGCATGAATTAATTTTTTTTTTGGCTAACTTTTTTTACTAACCATTTAACATCATTTAAGTTACATTGACAATTCTTGTTAAATGCACAAGAGCGCTAGTTGAATCTGACGTTATATTCAACTTTAAGTGCAAACAGAGTGCATAAACCTTAAACTTAAATAACATAATTTAAATTATATATATATATATATATATATATATATATATATATATATATATATATATATATATATATATATATATATATATATATATATATATATATATATATATATATATATATATATATATATATATATATATATATATATATATATATATATATATATATATATATATATATATATATATATATATATATATATAAATATATATATATATATATATATATATATACACACACATATACATATACATATATATATATATATATATATATGAATATATATATATATATATATATATATATATATATATATATATATATATATATATATATATATATATATATATATATATATATATATATGAATATGTATATGAGTATATAAGAATATATATATGAATATATATGAATATATATATGAATATATATGAATATATATATGAATATATATATGAATATATATATGAATATATATGAATATATATATGAATATATATGAATATATATATGAATATATAAATGAATATATAAATGAATATATAAATGAATATATAAATGAATATATATAGACACACACACACACACACACACACACATAAATGAATATAGTCTATATATATATAGACACACACACACACACACACACACACACACACACACACACACACACACACACACACACACACACACACATACATGCATACACACATACTTACCTACCTACATACATACATGCTTGCATTATGTATATACATATATATTTATTTGTATATACATAAGCATATATATCTTGTTTTTTTCAGCATAATCCGTGTTATGATCATCAGGCTATTTCAGGCTACTTGGTCTATTGAAATTGTGTAATTCTGGTTGATCTTCCGTATTTACGTAACTTGTATTTAAAAGTATATTATAAATTGTAGAGTTAACATTTTTTGTGTTTGGATGTATAACCGTCTTTATTCACTGGATGGATATAGCCTTTATCTGCTAGATATATACACTATAATCCTTCTCTGTTCAAGTTTTACTTCTGTTGTCCTGTTAAGTAAACCTTTTGTTCTGTTAAGTAAATCTTCAATATTATTCCAGTGGTTATCTTATCTTAACAAATCTTTCAGTTTTTTTTTTTATCTCAATCTTGTTGTTAAATTTTGTATTTTTGCTCTTTTTTTTTCTTTTTTTTTTTTTTTCAGTAAATTCAATAAAGTTTTTAAAATGTTTTGAAAATTTTTGCTATAAGTTAAGATGACAATTGTTTCAAATTGTTTTTCGACTTTTTTTCTTTTTTTTTTTTTTTACATTTTTTTATAAATCTGAGTTTGTAAATTGAAGTTCGTGGAAATATATTATCAGTTAAAAAATAAACTTTTGTTTATCTTAAGGTGAGTTTCCACTCTACGGGAACGGGATAGGAATGGGAAAAATAATCACTTGAGCACGCGCAGTTTTACTTCGGACATATTGAAACTTATAATACGCATGTCCACGTGATTATTTTCCTCTTTTCTTTCCCGTTCCCGTGAAAAAACGGATGAGTGGAAACTCACCTTTATACGAACGGGTTTATGTCGCATGACACCTAATTTACACTACATATATAGATCAATAAAATTTTTGTTGTTGAATTATAAAAAAGATTTATTTTGAAATTATGAATATAAATATCACTAGATAATATCACTATATAAAACATATTCTTTTTGGGTTTTATCAATTTGCTTAAATGTGACATTGTCACATTTAGGCAAATATAACAATCTCATTTTCCGATCTCATTGTCACATGACAATGTGATCGGAAACTTTTTAAATGCCATAAAAAGTGCAGTGCAACCCTTATTAGTAAAATTGCAATAATTTAATTAAAAATAAGTCTTTATTAAATGGAAAATTCTATTTTGTGCAAAAACAGCTTAAGGCAAATCACATATAAAAAGCCTAACAACGTATGTTTGTCGTGCTTTCAAACAAGTTCTGTTATAGCGCCAGAAGAGACAAAACTTTTAAGAAATCAAAAATACTTTATTGAGAACATCAATTTATGAGAACATTTAAACTTTGCAATTTGTGCTAGGTGTATAAAAATTTTGATTGAGATTGAAAAAGGGGAAAATAGTAATGATCCACCTTGACAACTCTTTCTTGTTTCAATAAAATTGGAACAATCAGCTAAGGCTATTCCTTTCCGATTCAGAAGACCTCCAGTAGCAACGAAAGAAATTTACTGCCTTGCGAGGCGGTATATTTTGCAACGACACGTCGGTGTAAAGTCATTGCCACGTCTCAAAACCAAGGTTTTCAGGAGAAGAAAAATATGAACTGATCCTATGATCAAAAACTTACAAAAGTAAAAATTCAATGTTCAATACTCGTCGTTAATATTTTATCCTTTTTTAGTTTTTTTTTTTTTTAATATAAATATAATGCAATAAAAATGAAAATTTAAAAAAGAAAATTAAAACTGAAAAGGTAAATTACCGTTCAAAAACATTGAAACCGCAAAATTGCATTTTAGAATACCTGACTTTACACTATGATATGTAACAAAAAAAGCATTTCAAAAGTCTACTTGAAAATGTCCTTGAAAGCATATTTTAGAAAATAATATGGCTATGCTTTTAAGTGCGGCACACGCCATTTCTCTAGCATGTTAAACTCTTGGTTAAAAAGATATAAATAGTTTAATGCTAAAACTCAGAACTTTATGCTGAGTTATGAGGTATAGAAATATTAGAAATCTTATTGTAAGTCACAAAAACTCACAAAAATTACTTAACTCTTCGCGCATTCCAAGATTTTACGCGTAAAATCTTGGAATACGAATAATAAGCGCCGTAGTTTTACCAGATATTTTACCAGAAAGTTTACCAGAAAAACCGTAGTTTTTTAGTTTTACAAGAAAATTTTCCGAATTACTTGAGAGCCCCTCCAAAAAAAAAAAAAAAAAATGTCAACATATAAAGCGTTTATATATATATTGGTCAAAAAATCTTTTTAGAGAAAATAAAATAACTAATGAGAAAAATTATAGTAATAAAAGAGAAAAATGAAAATAAGCTTGTGATTTGCATTTAAATTACGCAATATTTTAAATAAATTTGGTCTCAATAAGAACTACGTGGGATTTTTTTCCCCGTTTATTCTGTTCTAATCCCGGTTATTGTCAGATCAAGCTTGACAAGATTATGTAAAAAGAGGAATTAAGTAATTGAATGTTATTATTACTATTCAAGAGAATGAAGTTGTTTCTAATAGTTTCTTAAACTGCTATCTTTGTGTTAGCATACTATGCCCAACGAATATCTTGAGCGTACAAAAATCGATGTCCTAAGCTTAATTTGAAATGCAAAATAAATTCTTCAATGCAATAGAAATTAACGATAAAGTTAAAGAAGTTTTTCAGAAAGGAGTCTATGTTAAAAAACTCGAAGAGGTACGACTTTGATTATGTGCAATCTTTAATACAAACTTCCTTAATTATCTTAAAAAATAACGTCCCAAATTTAAAAAACAACAACAAACAAACAAACAAACAAACAAAATTACCACCACAACAACAATAACAACAACAATAAAAACAACAACAACAACAACAAAAACAACGACATTATCAACAACAACAACAAAACAAGTAAACAAACATAACAAACAAAAAACAAAAACACACACACACAAAAAAACAAAACAACAACAACAACAACAACAAAAATACAAAACAAAACAAGCAAAACAAAAAAAAGTAAGAAAAAAAAAAAAATAATAATAATAACATGGAAAAAGAGAAAGTACTCATCATAGCAAAAATCAGTTGTTCAATATGTTTAGCTTTGATTTTAAATTAGATTAATATCTTTTAATTTTTAAAAACAATTTATTTTTAATAAATGATTTATTAATAAATGGTTATTTAATAAATTAATAAATGATTATTATAAATCCTAATCAGTATTAAATTTTTGAGTCTTCTTAGTATTTCTTGATGATCAACTCGAGCTTTTCCTACCCTATACATTTTATAAATGGGGCAAAATTTGAATTTTATAGAAAAGTAAAATATCTAAGTAATGTATGTAGATAGATGATTTATTGATTTCTAAAGAAAATATTAAGAATAGCAAAAAAGAAAAAGAGAAAAAAAAAAAGAAAAAGAAAAGATACTTATATAATATAGCTAGATTTTTCTGAGTTAATGCTATCTGATGTCTTGATGTTATAAATGCTGCTTTAAACAGTTGTCTTAAACATTTTCAAACATGCAGCAATCATTTATTTAGACTGTTTTTTATTTAAAGTTTTACGTGCATATTTAGCAAGTGATGTTGTAGCCATATCCTAGGATAATAATGATTGAATTATACATGATATATTGTATATAGAGCATATAAGGTATTTTATTATTGGTTGATAGTTAAACAATAACCCGTATTAGACGTGATTAATCAGTATGTTGCCAGTATTCATGTTTTGCATTTATAAGTAGTAATCTATAATAAGTATGATTGGTCAGATCTTTTTGAACATAATCATATATGTAATATATATATATATATATATATATATATATATATATATATATATATATATATAATATATATATATATATATATATATATATATATATATGTATATATATATATATATATATATATATATATATATATATATATATATATATATGTATATATATATATATATATATATATATATATATATATATATATATATATATATATATATATACATGCAAAATTTATAACTTTGCTTAGTAGATTTTAATTAATAAATTAATAAAAATAATTAATATCAAAGACTAAAAACTTACAGAATTGTTTTTCTTTAATGGTTTTAAACCAATGTATAACATTTTAAGTGTTTTTCGATTGATTCAAAAAAAAAAAGGTTATTTTTCATCATAGAATTAATATTAGATAAAATATATTTTGAAATCTTGCAAACTCATTTTTGGCAGAATTTATAAGTTTAACAGTAGGTTTTTTAGAATTTTTTTTTGGGGTTTTTGTTTTTAATTATAAATTGCTCTGTTTCGAAAGTTATATAAAGCAATAAATCTTGTTAATATCTAAATTTACATCGACTGACAGATAGGTAGAACATGTGAGGAGTGTTGCTACATTGATTGGCAAATAGGTAGAACATTTGATAAGTCTTTTACCAATTTTTACTTTTTTTCTATATCTATATGTTTTTTGTATATGCAACCCTCGGAATTAGAGTTGACATTTGGCGATACTGACCTAACTGCCAACCTAAAATCTTTGAGGTGGGCAACTAATCATTGACCTTGTTTCTATGTTTTATGGTCAAATCTTTGTTTAACGTTTTTTCTGCCAACCTGATACCGACCTTACACAGAATAAGGTTGACAAATTTTTGGTGACATTATTTTTCCTAATTTCGAGGTCTGTATATGTATGGGACTTTTTTGACGTTTAAATAAAAAAACTCATGGATAAAATAAAATTGATTATGTTTAATCAATCAATCAATTATATATTCTGGAAAAAAAGATCTAACTTCCACGGTCGTTACAAATAGTTATAAAAACTAATTTAAAGTAAAAACTTCTTTGATGATATAAAACATATTATAGACACATATAGTTATAGAGATAATAAAAATAGCAATAAATTAACAAAACAACAATAATAAAAATAATTAATTAACGTTTTTTCTGCCGACCTGATACCAACCTTACACAAAATAAGGTTAACAAATTTTTGGTGACATTATTTTTCCTAATTTCGAGGTCTGTATATGTATGGGACTTTTTTGACGTTTAAATAAAAATTTTTTTTTTTTTAGTAGTTTAGTAGTAGTTCTTTAAGTTATACACCGTATTGTTTTGTATCATATTTTATTTGTATCATAAATATATTAGAAAAACATTCATCAGCAACAGTTGTTTTTCTGATATTCATTTATTCTATCATCAAGGTTTTCCAGAAAAATTGTTAAAAAGAACGTTGCATGTGTATATATATATATATATATATATATATATATATATATATATATATATATATATATATATATATATATATATATAATTTAAATATATATATATATATAATTTAAATATATATATATATATATATATATATATATATATATATATATATATATATATATATATATATGTATATATATATACATATACATATATATGTATATATGTATATATATATATATATATAGACTTGGCCAGAAGGGCGTGTGACCACGCCTGTTAATATGTTTTGAAAATTTGTGCACATTTTAAAAATGCGCTGAAAAAAATTAACTAAATTTAACTATAAAGAAACTTAAAAAAAACTTATTGCAAAAGAAGCAAATAAATCTTCGTATAAAAAAATTTATATAAATATATATATATATATATATATATATATATATATATATGTATATATATATATATGTATGTATATATATATATATATATATATATATATATATATATATATATATATATATATATATATATATATATATATATATATATATATATATATATATATTTATATATGTGGAGGAGGAGGTCCTTTTTTTACCAATTTTTTTCAAAAAATATATTTAATAAATTATACAAAAAACATTAATCTGTAATTGTGGTAAAAAACATTTATAGAATATTTTTTTTATTAAAAAAAACAACAGGTAAATAAACTTTCTATTTTCGGTTTTAAAAATTTTTTTGTTTTAAATTTATTTTATTAAATTTAAATTAAATTTATTATTACATAAATAAATAAGAATTTATTTTATTAAATTTAATTAAAATTCATAAAACATTCCGTTTTACTATTTTTTTTACTGCTAAAATTTCCAAACTATGTTAAAGTAAAAAAAAAAAATATATATATATTATATTAAGTGTTGCTGAAAAAAGTTTTAAAAACAAAGAAAACAAAATTAACAAAATAGGAAGTTAAAATAAACTTATATAGAAAAAAAAATTATTAATTTAAATAATTTGTGTACTGTTATTATATTCAGCAATGAAAAATAATTCAAAAAAAAATAAGTCAAAGGAAAATTTTTATTTGTAAATAAAAAATCTTTTTGTTGTACGTTTTTGAATATTACATCACATTTGGATTTCTTATACCATTTAAACCTTTCAGTGTATTTTCTAAGTAAAGCACACGCATATATACATATATGTATTTTTTACATTTTTTTGTTTTTTACACTGCAACTCTGTGCATGTGTTAAAAAAACAAAAAAAAATTAGGAAGTGTTGGGTTCCGTTTATAATGCCTTATTCAAATAAGCTAAACATGCATATATATGCAAGGATATTAATATAGTTATATAATACAAAAAGTATACGCTTAAATTACATAGACGTTTTCACACAGGGACAATATACTTGTTACATCAAAATACTTGTTACATTAAAATTATACGAATATATTTTACAAACTTATTGCAATTTATATTTTTGCTTATATAATAAAAGATATGTAAATTTCAAAATTATAATAATATTTGTCAAAAGCAAATATTATTATAATTTTCCCAACGACATCTTACAACTGAAAATACTGCACCTTTTTGTGTTTAAGTTGGCCTATTTTTACTTTATTTAGCATTTTTAAATTTTAATTTAGCAATTTTCACTTGACAAATTTTAGAGAAAATTGCTAAATTAAAATGAAAAAATGCCAAATTTAAGTGAAAATTGGCCAACTTAACCTACTACTATTATCTTCACTTTAATTTGGCATTTTTTAATTTTAATTTGACAATTTCACTTTAATTTGTAAAGTGAAAATTGCCAAATTAAAATTAAAAAACTTAAATCTATAAATTTGTAATTTTTTTTTTGAATTTAGTAAGAAATAGTGAAAATACATTAAGTTTCACAGTAAATGAAAATAAAATATTTTAATGGAAACAAAAAAAAAACAATGCAGAAAAGCAGTAATCTTCGTTTAATTACAATTTTTATTTTGTCAAAAGTCTACAGTTAAACTAAAATGTTTTAGCACAAAAGTTTTTTTATAAAAAGGAAAACCCAGTCTAATTGTGTAGTTGTGTAAATCATTTTAAAAACTCTGCGGTAAGTACATTTAAATCCCTTTAAGAAATTTAACCATAAACAAATGTTTCCTCATTAATAAAAAAAAAACATAAAAAGAATGTTTTAAAGAAAGAAATAGTTTAAATAAGTATAAGAATTTTTTTTTTTTAAAACAACATTTTAATTTTATTTTATAATAATATTGTTTAAATTCCAAGTTATTTTATAAAGATAAAGACAACGATTTTTAATGTGGTTTTAAATTTAATTACAATGAAATACTTTAAAAAATGTAACTGACGAAATTAAATTTTTAATGATGTAATATCCTGATTGAGTAAATTGACATTTACTTGCATTATATGTATATATATATATATATATATATA